AGTGTTCTGTGTATCATAGTTTGTTTTACAGTTTATGTGTATTATGGTTTGTTTTAAAGTTTCTGGGTATCATGGTGAATTTTGGACCAACGCCTTATAATAATCAATTAAAATTAAACAATGGATTATTTTACCTCAAACATCACAGATATATTACTTAAGTCAATCAAGTGAAAGATACATAAATAATTTTGGCCAAAGAGGTCTGTTTTATAGCCTAGTAATAGAAGGGTTAACACGAAGGTTTACTATAGGTGACACTCTAATTAGGTTTAGCAGCTTTTATAGTGAAAACATTGACACCAAGAAAGTTATCTAGATAAGTGAGTAACATAGAGTAAACTAGATAGGCTTCTATGAAGAGCTAGCATGTAGAAAAGTATTGTAGTTTCAGCAGAAATTATCCGAATAAAGAAAATGTCACCCGTGTAGTGTATCTATGCGTTAGGTTTTAGTAATCTGTTTTGGAAGAGTTTGATTTCAATATCACACAAATATATTATCAAAGCTAGGAGCCATCTTAGTACCCATGAAAGTATCACTAATTTGAATGTAAGTTACCATATCAGATTCAGAATGATTTAACGGTAAAATAAATCTCGCTAGGTTAATAATATTTTGAGATTCTTGTGAACTGGATAAATTTAAAATTGTTTTAACGTTTCCCAATCCTTTATCATATGGAGTATTATGTGTGTAGGACGAAAACGTCTTTTGTACACTAAATGCTATTGGAAGATAGAGTTTCCCATATATAATGATATTAATAAAATGTGTCGCATATTTTATGTGGGAAAGAAACCCATGGCTGTCCCATAGGCAGGCAGATTTTCGGTGACCATGCTTATTTCCAAATGATTGGATTATCATGTCTGTGTATTTTAGGTAATAGGTAAACTCTCCGTTGCAGCTTGGAAAAGATCGAAGTTACGAATGTTACATATGTCTAAAGGTAGCTTTCTTATCGTCATCCTCCACATGACCTGGAAAGTATGGCTTCAAAGCTAGAAGGTTAAAAGATAAGATACGAAGTGTTTCTTAGGGTTAAAATTCTTTTAGCATTTCGTTCAGTGGCATATTTTACAGAAACTTCACATACCTGTCGTAAACAAACATATCGTCTTTGCCTCCGTTAAGAACGCTCCACACTTCTTCATTCGACGTTTCCTGATACACCGGGAACGTTACTCTTCTTTTTAAATGAGGTCGCATCAGTTGCGACATAAAATCTTTCGAGTTAACCACGAGGAATGACAGATCATCCATTCCAAGTGCTCGAAAATACTGCAGCATGCCCTCAAGCCTAGTGGCGAAAAATAAGTTAGGTCTAAACAACAGAAAAACATCTAAACAAACTGTAAACATTGATTTTTCTTTTACAAAACGTTTAATTTCTGTTTATTATATATAAAAAAGAATTAATATTTAAAACAAGAAGGCGAGTTCACTTTGAAATTATTGGGAAAAAATTGAACCTTCAACACGTATTCATCTCATGGTTAATTGTAACTGATATATATAGGTTTTTCTTACACTATACATTTCAGAGATGGCATAACAATGCAAAAACCTCACCTTCAGGTAGTCGATCAATTACTGTAATCTTACAAACAATTTTGGCGTTATAGTGTCAATGTACAAATGAAAATACATTATGTTGAACCAAATCCTTAAACATCGTTTTATATGATGGTTTTCTAAAACGAACAACTTTATTTCAGGACCATTTACAAGGTAAGTGTTAATCTACTTTTGCAACTAACAAAAAGGTTTCATCTATATTAACAACCAACGTTTCTATATACTTAAGTTGAGTGTTGTAAAGATACCTAGAACAGTGTATCTTGTAGACATTAAGCGTAAACAATGCCTGAACATCTCTTCTATTGACATTAAAAAAATATTTAGAATGATTATATAATACGAATTACTAGACCTAGAGATACTAAATTTTACCAGAATTGTATTGAAAATCATAAGTTATATTCAGAAAAGTATGGATATGATACAGGTGTTTCCATGTCATGTTATACTGAATCGCTTTTATAGTACGATCCAACAAGACGGAGCATCCTCTCTCATGTATAACATCAGGATGCTCCGTCTTGTTGGATTGTCTCTCATGTATAACATCACAGTCCAACAAGACGGAGCATCCTCTCTCATGTGTAACATCACAGTCCAACAAGACGGAGCATCCTCTCTCATGTATAATGCCGTTAAAACGTTTCAAAGATACACTTTGACTGAAACAGAATCACAAGTCGTTTATTCACGAGTTTCCTAGTCGTTTCACCTACTGAATTTTGGCTATGAAAGTTTCTATAATGGGATGTTTATCGCTGGATTAGCTCAATATACTTGGAAGATCAAATCAGAAAACAGCTTCAATGAACGTTGTCCAGAAAGAATTAGGTTTGCAGAAGTTTCGTTTAGGTATATGTCTGATGTGTGTGGAAACTTCTAAAACACCATGTATCAAGTCCAATATCTACTGGATAAAACAAATATTCTCAGAATGCTTTTAATGAAATTTAGTTCCCTCAGGTCAAGTAGTTTTTAAGAGAAACTTATTTTAAATATTAGGTTTCTTTATAATTTCCCTGTATTATTGACGTATAAAATATCTCTTCTATAGTTTGCACTGGCTGTAGTGTCTAAAACGAGCATTCTATAAACAGCTAATGTACTTATGATGTCCAAAAGTGCTGAACTTATATCTAGTATATCTAATATGTGTCTTCTATAGACATAGAATATATTAATGATGCTGTAAACGCTTTGTCTGCAAATAGTAAACGCTGTAGTGCTGTTTAAAACGTTTCTTATATAGTCTTGAAGTGTATTATAATGAAGTTAATCAAGTCTTTTTTTATAAACAGTAAACGTCGCAGTGCTGTTTAAAGCGTTTCTTATATAGTACTGAAGTGTATTATAATGAAGTTAAACAAGTCTTTTTTATAAACAGTAAACGTCGCAGTGCTGTTTAAAGCGTTTCTTATATAGTACTGAAGTGTATTATAATGAAGTTAAACAAGTCTTTTTTAGAAACAATAAACTTCGCAGTGCTGTTTAAAATGTTGCTTCTATGGTCACGAAGTGTATAACCAACGTGAATACATGTCTCCTCTAGAAGTGTATTAACAACGCTAATACATGTCTCCTCTATCACCAGTAGGTTCAGTAGTACTGCTAATTTTTTTTAGTTATGAACTGTATTAATGATCTTAACCAAGCCTTATTTTTATATTGCAGACAGTAAATATTGCACTCCTACATTCCTTTATAAATACTAAGGTTATTAAATTTAAGTAAAATGAGTCTTCTGTAGACATTAAGATTATTTAGTTTTAACAAAATGAGTCTTCTATAGACATTAAGGTTATTAATTGTAAAGAGAATGAGTCTTCTGTAGATACCAAGTTTATTAATTATGAACAAAATTAATCTTTTGCAGACAATATGGTTATTAATTTTGAATGTGATTAAAACATTTTACCTGCACAAAAACAGCCAAGTTAGTATAAAAAGGTCAGTCATATACAGGTGTTATATAAAAATGAAATAGCCAAGTTATATAAAAGGGGGAACCCTATAAAGATATGTTGTATGTAAAAGTGAGTGAATTAAACAAGGAAAAACTTGCCACCCTCTTTCATATTAACGTTACTGATCTCTTTATTCTAATTTGACTATATTTGGATGTCTTAAATGTGTTGTTCAGATATCACTACTTTTCGTGTTGACAAGAAATATCACTTCCATTACTTAAGAGGTGTTAGGGAGATGTAAAGTTTGCACTTCCTGAAACAATAGTTTATATGATGAATAAACTTAGCATTCCAAAGATTGTTTAATCTCGAAGTCTAAATTCAAGGAAAGTCCAGTTCAATCTACACTTTGATGAACGTGTGTTATTGGCTTATACTAGTTTCGGAGAATTCCACTCCTTATCAGTAACCCTGAACACAAGTTAACCAAAGAGAGATAAGATGGACCTATATCACAGTGTAAAGTCCCAAACATACTGTTGGCGTGAACGTGCTTTGTAGTCACTATGAGAAAAACCTAGACATTGGATAAGTGAAGAACTGAATAGTGGCCAATGACACTATTTCTTGTTTTGTTTCTTGCTTGTCATCCTTTGTTTACTATACGTTTTGCGTCCTCAACAAGGAGAAGAGAAAAATAATTTTACCACGTTTTGACTGCTCATTTCTCTAAATCTAAAATAGGTATGAAGCTGGTGCATTTAATGTAATGTAAGAGTGCTTAGAAATCTAACAATAATGACATTCTCACACTTCGGACGATAGTGCTAATACCCCTGATTTAATCCAAAAGCTCTGTATATAGAGTCACGATATCAGTACTCCACACAGTAACTTGGCTGGAGTCATTAACGTACATCTAGGTCAGTGGTGCGTTTTTTATAACACTCCCCTTTCCAAACTCGTGTTTTGTTGGGCCCCCGTACCCTGTATAACCTATTTATGTATATAATGAACATGCTATTTTTCCATGTTAATTGTTGTTAGAATATTACTTAATACTAGTTGTTTTCAAACTTCTGTATTTTAAAATGTGTACTTTCATACAGATGGCACGGTCTATTCAAACTTAATTACCTTAATGCCTATAGAAGACACGTTTTACTTACAGCCGTGATGCGTAAATTTTGGGGTACCCCCCACCAAGGGGTACTCGCAACTATGACTATAGGAACCTATAAACTATATCCGCATTAAGTTTATTGATTTGTGTAAAGTGTGTCGTCTACAAACACGGTAAAGATCGTAGTAATATGAAATAGATAGTGTTATTTGTGTTTTAGTGTTCTTGTTAGGCATGAAACGTTCTGTCTAAAACGTTTAATCTGTACAGAATGGATGCTTTGGTGATGTAGTGTTAATGAAAAATCTTTTGTATGGATAGTTAGAGCTAAAGTGATGTCTAGAAACGTCTCTTCTATAGAAAGTAAATTCTGTAATAGAACCTAAAAGATTGTTTTTATAAACGTATTGTGAGGTAGCGGTGTCTTCTTCTATAAACAATATGAATTAGAGAACATATCTTCTATAAACTTTGTAGTAATGCCAAAAGTCCTAGAATGTAACAGGATTCCTGTAATGGCGTTCACAAATATACTTTTTTATGAACAATGAATATGGCAGATAGAGAGTGCTTGAAACACTATTATATACTTTTCTTTTCGGAAAAACATCAAGGAATCGAACAAAGAATGTGGTAATAATGTCAACACCTTTCACAAGGTGGCGAAGCATGATTATGATTATACCCGTCAATAACATATCAGAATTAGGCCTATTATATTTCTAAACACCCCTTTCTTTATCTAGTACCTTTGGGATTTTCAAGAATTAGAAGAATGTATAATAATACAATTCCAACCATACTATATTCGCCATTTACATTGCCGCCGACGCGTTTCGCTCAATCCAGAGCTCTTCAGGCCGGTTGGGGTAGAACAATGAATGTAGTGTTTAAAAATATAATAAGCCTAATATTGATGTCTTATGACAGGTATGATTACAATCATGCTTCGCCAGCTTGTAAAAGGCTTTTCACACTATAACAGTTGTTGTTGTGGCAAATAGTTTATATAAACAGTGTTCCGACCACTGCTGTGTTCGTTGTATCCCAGTTGGCCTGAAGAGCTCTGGATTGAGCGAAACTTGTCGTCGGAAATGATTATGGCGAACATAGTGTGGTTGGAATACTATTACTATACAATCTTCTGATTCTTTAAAAATCCTAAGGGACTATATGAAGAATGTAGTGTTTAAAAATATAATAGGCTTAATATTGATGTCTTATGACGGGTATAAAACAATGTAATGTTTAGAAATACTGTAAGTCTAATACTATTGTTTTATGTCGAATTATAATCACTTTTCTTCAACAAAAGGCGTTTATATCATAAGATTGTTAATATGAAATTTTGAAACAGCTACTTGTGGGATAATAGATCTATTTTTGTACAACGTTTCTTCTTTGACAGTGAGACATGATTACGTACAACATTTCTTAATGAAATGAAGCTTAGACTCAAAACGATCTTGAAATATTAATCTTTTAAATGGTATCAAAGATTCAATATTTTTATGAGTACGACAAAACCTTTTTGAGGAATAGTTTAGTTATTTCATACCTTGTAGGAGTTGAAGAAACGACATTTATTTTAGGACTGGAAAATTTCTATGTCTAAAATATTTTGTTCTAAAGTTTTAAAAAATAACTTCCAGAAGTATAATACATCTCTAAGTGACCAATAAATGTGAGATATACCTTGTACTGCTAAATAAGACCGTATAAGTACTAAAACTTATTCCATTTTAATTGTTTTAAATGTAACTACTGCACGAAGTGAAATCTGTTATCATATTCAAATTCATGTTTTGATCAACAAAACTATTCCCATAGCTTTTTGATCAAGTATACTTGATTGCATCAGACTATTACTTTAATTAGGATCATGTTTATGTAATGTAAGCAAGTTCATATCTTACACCACTTGTTTTTTGTTTTGTTTTTTCACTTCTCAAATGTCGAACCTTCAATGTCTATACGAGGTCATCTTGGGTGCCCCAATCATCCTATTCATGGCATCTTTCAGTCTACTGGTCAACGCTCAGCCAATAGAATGCAAACCGAAATCCCCTAACGACGGTTCCTGTAAAGTTACTTAATATCGAAATAAACAGCACAACACATGAACGTTTTAGTAACACTTCAGTAAACAGTGAAGTTAGTTTATCTTAAAATTTAACTAAACAATCTTCTATCTTATAACTAAACGCTTACATGAGAGCCTGCCGCAGACACAAAGGTCACGATGCTTTTAACAAAGCGACAAGGGTCACATTTCCACGGGTTAACTCCATCGGATTCAGACCATTTTCCACAGTCCATTTTGATGGAGGATGACATAGGCCAGGTCCTTTACTACCATATGTCACTGATAGCACAGCGACTGCTACCATTAATGTAATTATGGTAGCCATTGTAACTTTTGTACTCTAGACTTTGATGATGCTGTAACAAATAAACGATTTCAAAATGAAATAGAAGAGAGAAGACATTCTTATGCGACAAAAATACTTCTACTGGCACTCGTTAAAGCTCATTAAGTTAGAAAATTGCGAAATATTAGTGAACAAAGCAACTTCCGATCAGAATAAGTTATGTACTTAGAGCTAAAATAAAAATCAACTCGTATAGCTAATTAATCTACTTTCTTTTTACGTTTGTACTTAAAAAGATAAGAATGCATTATTTTCATTAGTTGGGTTCCTTCGCTGTTAACGATATCTCACAGGGTCAGTATTTTTGTTTATTTTCATTACGACTTAAGTTTTAATAATTCATTTTGACCCATTAGTGTAATTAATACTTTTACAGTCACTTGGAATTTTTTAAATAATTCAAATAAAAAGTATGTTATTCTATTCAGTCATTGTTATTGTTTTAATAATTTATTTACAAGGACTGAAAATTTACTAAAATGCGAACATACCAGTGCACAAAGAATTTATTTTAACAAAATAACTCAGAAAATTTGGTTTGCTTGAAAAGCACAAAGTTATAGAACGTTCTATCTGTCTATGCTACAACGGATATCGAGAGTCGATTTTTAGCGTTATAAGCCTGCAGACTTTTAGATAAGCCACTGATGAGCAACTCAGAAAGCAACAATAGCAACAGTAACAAAGAAGCAAAATTACCAACATCACTTAAAGGAGCTAAAGGATTTGCTTGTTTTGTAAGTCCGAGCAAAGCTAGACGGGGATTATCTGTGATCAGCCATCTTTAATTTTGTATTCATAGATTAGAGGGACGGCAGCCAGTCAACAGTACCCACTGCCAACTCTTCAGTTATTCTAATCGAATAGTTGAATTTGACTGTCACTCATATAACGTACCCAAAGTCCCTAAGTGCGGAGTGCATTTTTACGGCAACGAGACGTAATCATGGATGAACCCTCAGATTCCCAGTACGACATATTAACAGCGGTAAGTGTGAAGGCTCATAACGCTAAAAATCGGGTTTCTATACCCGTCGTGAACATATTACGTATTGTTTAGCTTTGCGCTTAACAACAACAGACAAAAAGTTTAACAGTTAGAGCAACAAACTTTTTTTTTTTACTGATTTATTTCTGAAATCGTAATGTTTATTTTTGTATAATTGTCATAAACCCTGTTCTTTTTAGATACAGTTAGTTTTTCAAAGGTTTTCTGAAGAAAAAATATCGTTTTGGGTGTTATTTTTAAGCTAATAGCAACCATGGAAAACAAACAGATGGACAAAAGCATATCCTATTTAAAAGACAGAAGCTCTTGTAAGTTTCAGTTTATGTCAGAGTGAAAGCGGACTTTTTTGTATTATAGTGTGTAAACAAATATGAGTTTGAAAAAAATGTTAGAATGAACAAGCCAAAACTGTGAAACGATTTGTATATGAAGATGATATTTTACTCATAGAACGATACACACATAAAGGTTTGTTTTTTAGCACAAAACTACACAATGCCATTTCTGCGCTCTTTCCACCGCAAGGAATCGAACCCCGGAATTTGCGTTGTAAGTCCGAAAATTTACAATTGACTCACAAGGGGACATCAATAAAGGTGTTTCTGTAACAACATCTTAAAAAAGGGGAAAAAAAGTAGTTACAGTCGCTAGTTGCCTAATTCTAAAGACTTACAATAAAAATTGGAATTTATAAGAGATCATTTTTAGCATATCTTTGTTTTTGTTATGGATCCTTGATTATTATATCATCATACCGTACCTTTTAGAAACGTTAAAAAGGGGGAATTATATCATAATTAACACTAACATTTGGCAAGTCACCGTTTAAACAGCCAATTAAAGACCATTTACAAGTCTTTAGTGGTCGACGATAATGTGAAATGATTTTTTTATAGGAACACACACACGATGGTCTTATTATTTCCAAAAGGAATTAATCGCAGAATGATAAATAATAGCGAACATTTTGTTCATTTAAAACAACTAAATAGACAATTTTATATGATGGTTATAATTCATTTGTAACTAATACATTCATAATGAATCAATAAGTACATATTTTAAAATTACTCACAGTTAAAAGAAGGTAAATTCTAACATTTACCAGTAAACCTCCACAAGTCTTCACTTACCGTTAGCTCATCCCTGTCTTCTTCGCACTGGTCGTAGTTGTTTCAAGACTAAGCGAATCAACACAGCTTAAGGGTATGCCTGGCAACTTATCTATTACATCAACTGGTGACTCCGACTGTCAACACATGGTTAGTTTTCCAAGGTTTCAGTTCATGATATTGTGGATCGTGTTACATAAGTAAGCAACAGTAAAGTAGCTAAAATCTTTTTTCGTTGCATGAACTGCAAGCGTTTCTATGATATGCAGCTCAGCATATCTATGCACTTGGCCTTGGTAAAAGTGTGAAGATCATGCACACTAAAAAAAAAGACTTTATTGTAAAGAACTTTGACTAAATAAAGAGCTGATCACATATTTATCGATGCTTAGTAGGTAAATTTGTTTGGTTGCAGTCTTTTAAATATAGTGTTTTTGCTTTTGAAATAAATAATTTCAAGATCCATTTTGCTCAATGGTAAGTCTTCAGACTTGTGACGCTATAAACCGGGTTTCGATACCGGTGGTTGATACAGCGTAGATAGCCCATTGTGTAGATTTGTACTTAACACCAAACAAACCGTTTTAATTATGTTCCACACACACACAAAGATGAGTTCACGATCAAAAGTTTTTCTTAAAACTCTCATTCATAAAAATAAACTTTTAACAAAACCTAAAGTTTCTCAGTTGGTTTGTATCATCCATCTTAACTTACAGGATGCGATGAATCACGTTTTACTCAGCCAAAAAATTAGACTTCACTGAGTTATAACTAAAGTGACAATCAAATTAAATGTGCTTAGCGTTAATATGCACTCTAGACGTAAAAAAATTTAAAAAAATCAAAATTTCCCAAAGACGTATATATTGTACCGTTAGCGGGAGTAGCTTGTCACATGAATGAGGGAACAATAAGTACTTATTTCAAGGGGGGCATCCTGCCTTTAAGAATACGCATGTTCATTTATTTTTTTTTCACCTGAATCCATTGTGCATGCATATGATAACACAGAATACCAAGTATAGTTGATTCTCAGTATTTTTTAACTCTTAAATATTGATTTTGAGTTGCCAAAAAAGGTAGAATTTCGGTTCTGAAAGTTTTTGCTATTACACTTTGTTTACGAGTATAGTTCACTAATTTTGTACAGTTTTTTAAGGACTTTCAAGTTTGTGAAAACAGTTCATGAAAGTCTCCACTAATTTCCCCTTCTCCCCTAGAAAAACAACACAAAACAAACTACTCACACATACAAACATAGATTGATATATAGATAGTTGTCAGTAATAAGATGTTCGAATTGATTCATATATTATGATAAATAATCACACTTTTACGTCGCAAAAATTCTAGATTTTAAGCACCTGTTACGATATCGTTAATTGAGTATGAGTATAGTATTTAGAGCATAGATTTTAATTATTCACATTATATATATTCTTACGTATGCAAACTTCCTTCTAGAAAAACACGTGCTATAGTTACTTCAAACTTTAGGAATATCAGTTATTTTTGGTAACTTATTTGAACCTTCGATACGCGGCTCACAAGGTCGGGAAGGAACGAATGATATCTCTCATAATCACGTCTCTTTTTTTTCAGGACTTTTCAGTACGTTTCCAGTTACGAAGTGTGGATTGATAAATTCAACGATTTTTAGTTTTGACACCCTACCAACGTTTATTAGGAATTTTGTTTTCAGGTACACCAAAGACTAAAATATATAATTATTTTGCTTTGTATATTGGAACAGAAGGATTGTGAAAATTATGCTACCGGACAAAAGTTATAAGCTGCTCTTCTGTCGTGTTCGATCTTTCTTTCAAGAGAGAAAAAAGTAGTGTAATTTGCAACTGTAAACATAACCAATCATATACATGTTTGAGGTTTTTTGAATTAATTATATCTTTCGCAAATTAAAATTTTATGTTTGAACCATTTTCAGCTATATTACATTAGACGAACACTGTATAAAAACAACAAAATGAATGACCACAACACAACTTCAAGGTCAGAGCTACGCAATTATTGTATGCTAACAAAATAGAATACAAGTATGTTGGTTCAGTCACAGATTTTGTGTTTTATTTTAACCAGACTACATAAACATAATAATAAGTGACTATATAACACATCAATGTATTTATATAAACACAAATTTGAATTGAAAACCGCACGTTATATGTGTTATAATTCACACATGTCCGTGTTTGTAGAGCATGGTTTTTGTTGCTGTGTAATAACACAATGTTTGTGTTAATTTACAACATATATTAGGTCGTCGAGAAATTAATGTCCGCAGACATACCACTGTGCCACTAGGGGGCGTTACGAAGATATAAACTAAATATGTACGTAGGAATTATTAGGTTGTCAAGGAATTAATGTCGCGTTTTGAAACACTTTCATTAACCCCCCCCCCAAAAAAAAAAATTATATCACTTATAATAGTTAAACGAACCGCCTAAACGTCACATTAGTGTAGCCTGTATAATGTGTAAAACTTAGTATACTCTAATCCCTTATAGTGATAGCACACGACGAGACACACGTTCGTCATGTAATGCTGTTTGAATACAAAAAGGGAAACAACGCCTCTGCAGCCACAAAGAATATCAAAGAAGTTTATGGAAATGTTTTGAACATTCGTAAGTGTCAACGATGATTCAGCAAATTTATTTCAAGTGACTTTAGTCTTAAAAACTGTGATGGAATTGATATTGATGCTCTGATGACGCTTGTTGAGTCTAACCCAAGGCAACACACTCGTGAAATGGCTCTTAAATTGTATGTCTCCAATGAAACTATACGTATACATTTAAGGAATATGGGAAAACTCAATAAAAG